TTATCCCCTCTCATGCCTTTATAATCGCTCCTGCCAGGTGGTAAGATGAGGAGAAACATGAGAAAGCGATGCCGAACACCTCCAACAAGAAACTTTGCTTAAAAAACCAGGTGTCACATTGTGGCAGTTCAATATTTCATAGCCAATACAAGGAATGTGCAACAACACTGCAACTTTAAATCTTTGCCTCCTGTGTCAGTCTCTCTCCTCTCATTGTAATGCCAAAGGGAACAGCAATCAGAGTGGAGATGTTCAACGTGATAGAGGTCAGGACACCGGTGGATCAACGTACCAGAAACACGACCTTGTTTATTTTTTTCCCCAGTATTATTGTTTACAGGGTGCTTTGCTCATGTACCTTGTGGTTCTTAGCTAAAAGATGAAATTACAGCCCAGGATGAAGCGCTCAGGCACACATCCAATTTGTGTTTCCATCTCAGAAAACAAAAAGCTTCTGAGGCCCTCGGGCTGCCATTCAAACTTGGAGAGGCTGACATTTTTAACAGCATGAAGCAGAGACTGGCAGAGGGAATGATCTAATGCATTTCTGACTTGTCAATCAAAGATCTCACCTCTGCTGTCTTGTAAACAGTTGGGGGCCACCTAACTACGATCATAAACAGGGGAGAGCCTGCCGCCAGCCGGGGGGTGCTGCAGCCACAAGCTCTGGCTATTAGCCACCAAAATTACCATTCTGGTTTAGAGGCTCCCTGTAAACAGCCCACGGGCACATTTCACACAGCCGCTGGGAGAGCACGAGAGGAGGGAATACAAAGCAGCCTTGGGCGAGGGACGCCACATCTTGAGGCTGGTGGGGTGTGTGGACTGGACACCCCATCTCTCTCCCCACTAAGGTACCCATCTTCACCTACCAGTAAGGTCTTCCTCCAAATTCATTTCTCACAAACACATTTCTGAGCGCGCACAGCTTGCCCACCCCCCAGACTTTGGCTTTAACCTCCTTGTAAGGCAATAAATAAAGTACTACCATTACTACTCACATTTACTCTGCATTTCTCAGCAATAAAATGCCAACTTTTAAGGTAAGAGGCAAGGGTAATCTGGAGGAAACTAAGAATGACCATTTCTAACAATTTTTTAAAAAATAGATGTAAAAATAATGTGAGAAACTAGTTCATTTCTATCTCATGGGTGCAACATGCTTCCATTACACCAGACTGTTTACATCTTTGACACTCAGCTTTCTCCAAGAGATCTCTGTCCAAAGAAGAGGAGCAGTGTAAATCACACCCATACTGCAGAACCTTAAATACCCTGCAGTTTACTTCAATTTGACTAATACAGCAGGATGGCCATGCATTTACAGCAGGATGGCCATGCATTCCTCAACCAGGACAGAGACTTCTGCCTCAAACAAGGAACACACTTTGCTTCTGCAAAACCAAGCAAAACGCAATCTTTTTCATTTAACACAGCCTGGTGTGCCATTCTTTATGATCAAAGCCTTCACTTCAAGTAAGGCAAAATGTGAATTTCTGGCATTCCAGAGAAAAGCACTTCCATACTCATTCAACAAGAGGCGGCTACCTCCACCACAAGAAAGTCAATTCTCCTTTTCGATTACAAGAGACCATTAGAGAAATAAGAGTTTTGGATCCAGCAAAATAAAGCTGATTAGACCACTTTTTGCTTTTTCACTGGTGCCTAGGCTCCAGACAAAAAAAAATAATAATAATAAAAAAAAATAATGCATGACTCTTGTCCCAAAACATTTACAACCTACAGTGGAGCCAATATTTGTAAGTAGTGTCAATTGGGTAAAAATGAAGAGATGATGGACTGCTCTCCGTGATTACCCTGATACATAACCTTTGGCAAGACTTTTAAATTGCTCCTTAAGAGTCTGCATTCACACAGTAGCCTACAGAAATAAATTAAAGGAAATATTATGATCTTCTGCAAACCTGAAAGGTTTAATGCAATCATTTTCTTGGCATCGTTGATGGGTGTAACTGTAAATCAGAATTTTCAAAGAACTGTGACTATGAAAAATAACATAAGCTGAGCCCCGTAAGCATGCATGGAAAATATTTTAAAAGGGGGAAAGTAATTATCTTCAAATGAAAAATGTCATGAAAACAGGCACCTGTTGGCACATCTGGAAACTTCAGAAACATGGATTTCTAGGAAAAATATACTCTGCATAAGTTTATTTTTTATTATTTGGAGAATCTACTTGCAACCTAGCTTTCAGTTGTTTTGCAGAGTGACAGTACAGCATCCAAGACACCGAAAATGAAATGGCTGGCCTTTTTCTCTTTTTTTTAAGCACCCTTTTTAACCCCCTCCCACAAAGCCTTATCAGAGTTCATGTTCCAATTTGCTGCCTTCTTTCACCATGATCTCTATGAAATTCAGTTACACAACAGACTATCGGTTGCCAAACCCTGAGATAAAAGATGTTTAAAAAAACAACTGTTTCTAGCTCCTTAATCCCCCATTCCTGGGTTTAGCCTTAAAACCTTTCCCACTGTGCGAGGATTGCCAAATGGAGCTAAGGAACCAGAAGATCCTGTTTTCACAGAAGTGTCTCCGATAATAAAAACACACAAAGAAGAAAAATGAAGTTATCTGACATATTAACAGAATCATCTCTAAATCGACTATCTGCCAATGTTTCCCATGAGGAGTCAGCAGGGCTTTAACTGAGCTATTCAAAAAGAGCCTGTTTCCACATTTCTGTCTGAGCATCTGAAGGTAAGCATGTAAATAACTAGACAAATTCAGCAGTGACTAAGTAGCCTTCCAGATGGCACCTTCTCTTTTGCCACAAGCAAAGAACATTGATATGCTTCTCCAGTTACTTCAAGCTTGCTAGCGAAAAAAATAAAATAACTTAATATGAGGAAAATTTGCTGGGGTACAAAGAAGTCTTTAATGCTTTCCTGAAGATTCAATACCAAAGAAAGCATTACAGAACGATGAAATATTTCAATATCACAGCTTCAAGCAGGCTTCAAACCACTCCCATTTAGACTACTGCACTGGAAAATGCAGAAGCCATGCCTCCTGGAGGGGAGTTTTCTGCAGACCATGCAAGCTAATGGGGATCAAAGCCCATTGAAAAAAAATGGGCTGAAATATGGATGACTCATTGCTGCAGAAGCTGTTACTGGCATTTAGTTTCTCAATAGGCACTAAATGAATTCCTCGGCAGAGTCAGTGCTATGCAGACTACTGGTATACCATTTTAGATGGCAAGTGAGGCAGCCTTCCCCAATTCCCATAGTCACTAAATACCCATGGAAATGTTTTGCTAAATCTGCAGGAATGCAAACGTCAAAGTCCTGATCCACTTCCAAGAAGGCAATACATGGTAAATGGTTCAGCTTCTGACTCATTTGACCCCAAATATCAACGCAGCATATTAGCAGAAAAGTTACTGTACATAGCTACCATTATCGAGAACATCTTGAGCTAAAAGAGGCAAGTTCCCCTTCCCTTTTGTAATATACATTTAATGTGAGTAATCAAAAATAATTCAAGTAGAAAGAAGTCACAATTTGAGTTTATAAATTACTTTCAATATACTGCTAAGGTTCTCTAAAACCTGAGCTTAAAGAGATCCGAGATTTATTCAACAGCAGAAAGCCCAAAAAATAAGGCTCATCCGATTTAGTCAAATTATGCAAATCAGGATTAAAAGTAGGATTCTAAATTCTGCCTGTTGTCTCCAGAGTCCTCTTAGACTAATAAAAAGTCTTCTTCCCCCTCCCCCATGGAAAGCTCCACTAAAAGCTTGCTGCTTTAGCAGAGGAGGCCTGGCAGGACACCTTCCAGAGTCCATCAGTGCTGGTGCTGGGTCAGCAAAAAGAGTTGCAGCAAAATGATGTAATACACTTAAGCCTCCCCTGAGACTGAGACGATTATTTCCACTGTACTCTCCTAGTCCTGGAAGCAGGCAGCCAAATTCAAAATGATCTTTGCACGCTATCCTTTAGAAGCAGGTAACGAACTCCCAACAGAATGATTCAGAATTTTTCAGGACGATTCTAGCCTATTCATTATGCCTGGTTTTGCAAGATGCTGGTGAATAAAACTCTCTGCCACAGGTTCGGTCAACAAATCCAGCAGTACAAACCTAGAAATAAACATTCATGCTACCAGGAACTCGAATGAGCGCACTCTCCAGAAATACTTCTAAGGTCCCCCAATCACTGCAGTTCACACACAATCACCCAGAGAGAGCATCTGACAAGAACAGATCTCTGCAGTCCAGCCTCCTCTGCTCTCCTTTTTGTACCCGCTTGCCAGCATAAAATGCTTGCAATGATCTTGAGCTTTAGATTTCTAGACACTAAGCTACCAGCTGCTTCACCCACAGGAGAGTAACTCAATTTTGTAAGAGTCACTGGTCACCTAAAGCATCTGAACAAACCCTGTCCAGCAAAAAGCTGTCTCAGTGGCTGAGAAAAGCTGGCCTAACAAATTCAGAAGCCAAAGAAAACCAGGTTCCTTTACTTGTCATTTGACTGACAGCTGACTCGTACCAAAATTTTCTATAATCAAAGTGTCCAGACTATTGCTAACAAACTTGAAGGAAACAAACGCTGGCATCAGTTATCACTGTGGCAATGAACCCACCCCCTCAGTCCTCCAAATGGCACACAGAAAATTTCGATAGGAAGGGAATCACTGGATGAACAGCCAGATTGGAGACTGTGTGATGGGTACTGTTTGCCAAATATAATTAAGTGCTGTATTTTTGACACAACTGAAAGCCAATGGAAAAAGATGATGGTACCAAGCCAATTTAGACAAAATAATTGTATTAAATCAAAGAAATGGAAATGCCCCAGTACTGAGCCACCCTGAATCTACGCAAGATGGGTTTAAATACCAGAGGAGCTCTGAATGACAAAGGAGAGGCATACAGTATGGAGCAGGATAAATGAAGGTAAAGCAAACGAAGTAAAGAAGCAGATGCACACATACATGGGTGGAGAGAAAAAGAAGGAGCGTGGAGAGACAGAAAGTACCTGGAAAGCTGGGAGTGCGCCAGTCCCTGGGTTATACAGGCATCGCAGCGAGGGCATGCTGTCCGCCAGGCTGGAGCAGCCCAGCCACAGAGATCTGGGCATAGAGCACTGCAGAGAAAGGACAACTATGAGATGGGACTGTATGAGACAGGATGGCACAGATTACAGGAACTTTCAAGGCTTAGCCAAATGGCATCAACACGACTGCAACTGGCCTTAAAGACTGAGACATCTTTAAGAGAACACAAACTGCTGGTGACACTTCCCTTTCGAGAAGGCTTTACAGATGTCAGAGTAGCAAGAAAAAGGCATCATGGATCAGGAAAGTAATTTTTTGATCAGCTTTCTACACCAATGCACGAGTTTTTTCACTAAAAAGAAGTTCCCTTCCAATTAAACAGACCTCTTCCCCATGCATAGCACATTCCAGGCACAAAACAGCACAAAGCAAGCAATTCTGCAAGGGAAGCAGAAAAGCAAATGACAACTTTAAATGGAATACTGGCAGGGAAAGAACAGGCTTTTTGTACATTGGGGTTTAGAAGGAAAAACCTGCAGGTCAAGGTGAACAGGAACTTGGTGACACTTTATAGGATTTTGTGTTTCTGCTTGCCTTGTTATTCATGAAATAAAATACGATTATTACAACAAAAATTCTGATCATTGAAAGCACAAATACAAAAAAAAAAAAAGAGCCAAAGCAGCCGGTCAAGGAAAATACTAACCATTTTGTAGAGTTAAAGCCATTACTTCCTGAAATACAGGGAGTTGCTTGTTCATTTTAAATCGCTACTGCTAAATCTAGGGATGCATTATGACAGCTATTGCTTTTACCAGCCAGAGAATTTTTGATGCCATAAGCACTGCTGCATTTGTCTAATTACCGGTAAGGCAGGGAAAAACAAGTACATTGTAAATGGGCAGCTAGCTATGAAAACTGGAGGATGTGACAGATGAGATGCTAGAGATTTCAAACCCTTGCACTCTTCCTTTTTGCAACCCTCCAGGCTTTTTTTTCTTCCCATCCCCCTTAAAAAGGGGAGAAATCTGAGTGGAAAGGGCAGCTGGAATGGGTATGAAATGACAGCTGCCTTTTGAGCCACCATTTCTTGCTGCTCGTAAGAGGGTTGGAAAATCTTGCCCTAGATTACCACGTAGGAGCAACAAAACCCATCTCTGAGCAGAAAGATGATGGTCAACATTCATAATTTGGCAGTGCGTAAACAGCTACAGAGAGATTAACCCTGTCTATCACCACATTCTTTGGTTTATTCTGTCATAATTTATGCTGCTGTTCCAGAAATAGTATTAAAAGATTACTGGGGTACAGAACCTATACAAGTGTGCTTTCTGGAAGTTTAAGGTACCTCAAAATAAATTGCCCACCTCATTTTCTCTCTTAAAACCTCTTTGTCTTACAAATACTTGGGAACTCAAGAACATGAGTACTTTGTAGTATTAATCCTCACGTGAGATAATGCCCTTCCTGAAGACAAAAACTCAGAGCCACAGTATTGTAACAGGCACCAGAACTGAGCCAGGCTTCCCTGTCTGCCACCCTAGCCTTCCAGGAGACACTCACTCCCACATACAAACACCTTCCAAATGCCAGCAATCTTTTCTTTGCAATGTCATGTGTATGGCTCCAGCTAGCAAAGCTGTTGTAATGGTATGCCTTAAAAAAAAAAAAAAAAACACAACCCTGTACATCTACAGTTTACTTTTTATCCAATTTGATATTTACTTCAATCAAAGCTGGCTGTCAACACTCTCCAAGAATATCACAGTGACAAAGGAGATTAAGGGCAATGTGGTATCCCTGATGACATAAAGCAAATTTACTCGGTAAGCATCAGCTGTTTACCATTAGCCATCCTAAGATTCAGGACATGATACAAATAAAATGAAAAAAAAAAAAGAAACAATAACTATCCTATGTTTTCTTGTGTGCATGAAGACTTGTTAGCAAAGTCTTGCCCCAGCCTTAGTTCCTCTTCCCTGGCTGTCCCATTCCTTGGGCTCACTCAATCTTTCATCCTGCAATGATGAACTAGATGAAGACCTCATTGCCAATGAAGCAGGTTTGGCAAAATAAAAGAGGTCATTTTAAATACATGCACTGAGCAAAGCACAGAAAGAGAAGCAGGAAAAAGGAGAACCACTCTATGAGCAGCAATGCTCGCTCATGTTACCTCAAAGTTGATGTGAGAGATGGATCTCTCATGTGAGAGTCGGACGGAGGCACTACAAGCAGCAGCTTGGGGTCTCCATTGTGCCAGGGCAATTACAATGCTATGTTCCTCTACAATAGCCACCAGAAAGGAGAACATTGAGGGTGTTTTCTGCCAAACTCCCTGCACCTACAGTGGACACTGGTACTCACTCATGTGCCCTCGCTGCTTAGTGTTATTCCAGAACTAGGAAGTACACAGTAAACAATTACCAACACCTCAGATGACTTCTGAATCTGCTCCGGTATGTACCAAAATTCACATTACTGATACACTTCTGTTACCCAGCTTAAAAAAACAAAAAGTGTGAAGTTGCACACACACTAGGAGAAAATGTCATTGCTGTACTTGCCTGTTACCTATTGAAGGAAGCAGAGACTCTAAATTACTGCTGCTGACTGAAAGAGGCTTATTCACAAGCATGAACAAAAGGCCCCAGGTGCTTCAATAGAAACAGCTTGTGTGTAAATCAGATGAGTGACCCAACAGAACAACTTCATTTACAGCCTGATCTCGGAAAATCTCAACAGCCTCTGTCCCCAGCCACCGAGCAAGCCACGTGTCAAATGCTCACTTTTGTACTGTCAGCTCCACAAACGAGGGACCGGCCTCTGCGTTCTCTGCTTGAAAGCTGACTGACAAAATCCTCTCCTGAACTCCCAGTCAATCCGCATCGATTCTTCAAAACAAAGATACAGAGGCACCGAGGTTGGACCACGGCCAAATGGGAACGCGGATACTGCTTGCTAAGTACTGGGCCGGGGTGCAGCAGCCTCTCCGCCTTCCTTTCTCCCAATTGCATTAAGGCTGCGGGTGTCTGCGCGCCTTCCTGACCCGGTGGTGCAAAGCTTTTAATTTATAACAGCTAAGCATCTTTAGGAGACAAGAAGTAGCATTAGATAAGGAATTATTTGATGAAATACACATTTCTTTCACTGTGAACTCTGTTCCCTGAACTCTGAAATATGTTTTCCCACTGCAGAAACGCAGAGAACAGAGTTGGAAGCAAGTTCAGCATCCTCCTGACAGGGGCTGGTACCAGCTGCTCCACCAGTGATTAAATGGGCTCGCCTTGCTTTGGATTCAAACAGGCTGAGCTGAGTGGGCAGTGACACCCAGCTGAAGGGAAGCCGTATTTTAACCCACCCAACTCTTCTTGTAACTCTACTGCAAGAACATTTTGGACTACATCAGATGTTTTGCCACTAATAGCCTACCCTCTATTCCAATTATTTGATGTCCTAAAGACAAATCTGGGTACACATCCATTGGCTAAACTTTTGCCACTGCTAAAAATTGGTTATTTACTTTATTTCCTATTGCGTTACAGGATTATACGCTGCAATTTCAGGCTGCTTTTTGATCAAATTTGTTCTCTTCTGGTCCTTCGGCAAATACAATATACTACAGGTAACTAACACAGTTTTAGGAAATTATGTTACAGGTCAGAAATGTATCACCTTCTCCTCCAAAACTAACTGGTTCTACATGAGGAGAAAAAAAAAACTGAAGTTGTTGAAATGCCACTTTCCAACTATAGTGCACAGAAGGTGTGAAAATACAAATGCACTGTACTGAACTCACTGTAAACAACAACAAAAGTTGAACACTAGTTTAAGGGTATTTTCTTTATAAACACTTTGGAGATCTTAATTAGACAGTAGGATAGCATGAATGCCTTTAATTGTGCCCCTTTTTTCCATACTAAAGGGCAATAACCTACCCGAACCCTGCACTCAGCCCTGTGATAACCTGTGCACATAAAATGCCTTTGATGTATAGGCAACATAACATACTTTTGTGCACACCATAACAAGTCAGTGGCAAAGCCAAAAAGCAAACCATTTTTTTTCCCAATTGCTAATTTTGGTCAAATTTACACAAGACTAACTTCAGCTGCTAACCATATCCATTTCAATCCTTTCCTAGGTCAGAGTTATTCATCTTCTAGCACACTGTCCAGTGCTTCATGTAGTTCAGCTCTTGAGATAAACCAATATTAATTCCTTCTTCTCCTGGGAGATGGAGATTAAGATCCTGTTCATCTAATAATTTCATTAAGGAGCACAGGTAGAAAGTGACGTGTTGACAAGTGAAGATGAAGAGTTTAAAAACAGAGAAAAGGGGCTTTAGCTGTTTGCTCCCACTGATCATAAGCGATGGAAGTTGGGGTTGTACAAACAGAAACAGAAACGGCACAATTTGTAAATATACTAAAATCGGGACCAGAAGCAAAGAGAAGTACTGGAAATTCTACCATGCAAACTGCAGCAAATAACATAAAGGGACACTCGAAAAAACATAGTAAAACTAGATACAGCAGGCCTGAGTGATGAGACAGGTCTTTCCACATCTCAGCTCTTGAAAAGTCAAATACGGGATGGCTGGGAAGTACAATTCTCCTTGAAGAAGTCTCTTTCAGAGCACTGTTTCCTGCATGCCTTTTAAGTCTAAATGTAGGAAGTACGCCTTGGGAATTTTGATCTTTTACAATGCTTTATCAAATAAATGCTAAAATGGTACTAGGATCCTTAATATTCATGATTAGAACACAACAGAAAAAGCAGGAGAACAAACCCCAAACCCTTCATGCCCACTCAGTTCCTCTTGGACTTTTTTTGGCCACATATTTAACTAAGCCAGTGCCAATAATACAACACACAGCACTTTCACACTGTGTCTGATGTGCACTATTCCTGTCACTGCAGAATGCAATACATCACATAAAATATGTTAGATAAGGCAGCTGCTATTTACATTGCAAATGCTGGTGTCACGAAACTTAATCCCATAAATTTGTTTCTTCCTTAAAAGTGATTTGGGTTTATTTCTTTGGTCTAGTTTTCATCCTTTTGACCTCTCATATACACATCTTGTATTTTTTTTCCTCTCTGCTGTTCAGATAGGTATTGCCTTTGATTAAATATATGACATAGATATAAAGAAAAGAAATCCCTGGTGCAATCTGCATGCTTTCACAATTAAAAATCTGTCAAATATATTTCATTTTTTAGCATCAGTAGCACTTGATCTTGTTGGGTTTTTAACTGTGAAAAAGTTGTATGATACAGCCTCAAAAAAATCCATAAAAATGGAACAAGAATTATTTTTAGTAGTTCTTTGTGGGGCTTTATTTTTTCTTTCTTTCCCCCCCTATCCGAACTGTGGATACAAGGCATGCTAAATACGTAATTACATGAGAGAGCCACCCAGCTTTCAGAGGAGCCATTTCAGTGAATTGTGTAAATAATATGCCTTTAAAAACCCTCAACATATGAATACAGATTTACCATTTATGGAGCAGTTATATACCTGAGAGACAAAAATACCCATTTAAAAAAAAAAAATCCTGCCTAATTATGAACTTACCAAAGAGACTAGCGTGGCTCAGAGCAAATTAATACTTTTATAAGTTTCTCCAAAAGTTTGTCTTTTTTTCATTTGAAAATATATATTAGAAAAAGCTTTTAAATCTGTAAGTCTTAATTAAACCAAAAACTAGAGTTAGAATTTACACCTCCTTATACTCCAGACCCCTGGTTCTCTGCACCTAAAATAATGCTGACTTTTTTTCATCGCTGACTTCTTGGCTGGTTTTCCACAGTAAGAAGATTAAGTTATAAAATAAAGAGGAAACTACAGCACTCCTCAGAGTGTGACCACGAGAAGGATCTCCCAGGGTTCAACCAGCCCACAAGCTGTCAGCTCCTCCAGCTGGTACGTACTGCACCAGAATTGCGAAGGGCAACACTCTGTTGCTGTCAAAACCAGCACTTCTCACAATTTCTCAGCTTCTATTGTGTTCAGGCATTTAGGTCACACATATGGCAACTATCAGAAGTTGTTTGTTGCTGTAAGAAAAGTCATCGAGCTACCTTACTAAGGGACCTCGAAGCATTTTCACCATCTACAAAACAAGCAACCCAACTCCTCACTAGTGGAGAGCAGAGAATATGTTCCTAGCTCCTGCAGAGCTCTTCAGAATAATCAGGTCTCACAAATCAGATGCAGAAACATGCTGGCAGGGTTCAAGCCCAACACTCTTCCTCTATTCCAAACACAGGAGGTGCTGGGCTTCTTACACCCGCGTTGATGACTGAATTCAGTGCAGAGGTTTCCCCACTCACCCTAAGGCTCGTGAGCTCAGTGCATTCTGCAAGCTCTGCTGTGCACAAACAGCTCAAACCACTGGAAATGATTTCTTTTCCCTTAGCCTCCCACTTTTCATATAATTGCTCCGTAAATTTTCCTGAACACACATATTATGCAAACTCTTCTCTAATCTTCTGGTAACTCCCTAGCTTACAGTAACTTTTTACAAGAGATTCCAGTTCACTAACTGCTCTTAAATATCAAAGATAAGGTACGTAGACAAGGGATTACATATTCAGGCTATCCAAATATTTTCTTACCTGAACTGGATCCGGGAGGATCAGATCACAGCTTTTAGGTAAATGTTTGTGAAGAAATGTTTTCCTCAAAGAGTGGTTACTGGAGTTGTTGGAGCTCTGGGATTCAAGATCAACAGAACTTACGTGCCCCAGAAAGGAGCCAACTTCCCAGCTATTAGGTGTATGAGATCCTCAGGTGCCAAGTGCTAGAGGGAACTCATGTAGATCATATCTGAACTAGACAATACTAATGTTTCCATAATTACAGCTCTTTAATCTGGGAAGCTGATTTATCTAAAGCAGTGCACCTGCAGAGCGTTGCTTCAGATGCCATGCCCGTCCTTAAGGAGTGTAACAAGTAGAGACTTGTGCGTGCTTCTTCAAGCAACAAAGATGGTGTTGTTAAACCCAAGACCTACCCAAACTTACTCAAAGCAATCTCATCACGGTCTACAGCATGCCAACTATCTGACGGGTTACAATGGAGATGCTCTTGGTCTACTTAGAGAAGAAACAGTTGCTAGTTAAGCTCCATCATGTCCAAAGCCTGATTTTGTCGGAACTTCTAACAATTTAAAATCTTATTATGTCACAAGAGATAAATGGAAGAGGATGAAAGAGGACAGCCTGAGACTCGGCAGACCCAAAATCTAATTCTTTGAACAGGCGTTCTTAATGTGCTTGAGTAAAGAGGAACACAGCAACTCAGCTCCACATCTGCACAGCATGGACAACAGAACCGCCCTACCTGAGAGGTGTCAGGGACCAGAACGGGTCCTTAACATGCAGCTCTGACACAAACACCAAGCACTGAACAACAGGGAGAGGAGAAGACAGCAACAGGAAATCACTTTTCTAACAAAAAGCAGAAAGAGCACTGTACTAACTGTTTAAGCATCATTGAACCTGAACCACTATGAGTTTTTTTTAAAAAAATCCCTAAAACCTACTACTAAGAAATGAGTTGAAGCCTCCTCAGCTTGAGACTCTTCTATACATCAGGTCTGGAGTTCCATCACAAGAACTGCAGAGAAGAATCCTACATCAGTAGAGAGATGAAATGGATGTTTTCTTAGATTTTCCCCCATCTTCAATTTTGTGTAATTCCTGAAAAACTCTCAGGATTGTTATGCTATGCACATACCACACAAAAGCGTTCCGAGGATAACAGGTATGTCTTTGAAGCACTTGACATTCTCAAAATACTACATGAATGCCAAGTATTAATAACAAACTGCAGAAAGAAAGCTTATTTCTACTTTCCACACAAGGAGTTAGGATGTGGATT